CTTTTTTTTTTTTTCCTAACCTTGCTTGTGGAATTTTTGTCTTGCTGTGTGGCTACACTCGAACAACAATGCAACCGACGACGACGACGGAACGCTGTACACTCAGAAAGGACGAGATTGCCCGGAGAAAACGGCTGGGGCTGCCCTTAGACGGGCTGATCGACGCCAAGAAGCTCCTCGCAGGAGGGGGGGGCGGCGGAGGGGGCGGAGGGGGGAAGCCCCCCCCCAGACATGTGCCGACCGGGGGTGGCGGTGGGCAGAGCAGGTGCGTTAGGTTGTTGGTTGTATCCTGTGTTTGCGGTGAAAAAATGGAGGTTGAGGTTAGGCCGCGCGTGACCAAACACAGGGAAACAGAGGATGTTGGGGTTGGATCGCGCTCGACCAAGCAGGGAAACATAAAACACGAGCGAACAGCCCCAGGCTGCAAGCGGCATGCGAGCGTTCGTGTTGGCTCGGCGGAAGTGCATGGGGATTCTATCACGTGGGGCCGTCGCTTCGGGAGAAAGAGGGCGCGGACACCAGAACGAGTCGCGTCACGCTAGTTTACGTGCTCGCGCATGCGTTTTTTTTTTTCTTGTGGCCGATCCCCCCCCTTCAACAACCGGGTCGAGGTTCTGGTCCAACCGCGGGCATGAGCTTGGTGTGTGTGTCAAACCTTCCCCCACCCCCCCTCCCTTACCCCGCGCTGGGTAGAGGAATGGAGGCGCTTGGTCCGTCGACGCCAAGAAGCTCGACAAGTGTGGATGGGAGAGAAAAGGGCCCGTTCACGAATGGCGTGTGGTACACAGCAACAGCAACACAGTGCCCCCTCCCCCTTCCCAGCACAGAAGCGCTTGGCTATTTGGCTGTAACCGCTGATTTGGTGCACGGCGAGGGTCTTTTGTTCTAGGGATTGTCTGGCGTTGCTCTCTACTGCTGTCAGCCTCTCCGCGTTACAGCCAACCCCTTCTCCCGGGCCACTGTTGAACGGATGACGCGGGATGCCGGTCGGCAGAAGAAGCGGGTCGTCGTCTACTTCAGTAGGTGTTTTCCCTTTTCGTTCGGCCTTCTTGCATGTCACAAAGAAGCGAGACATAGTTCGGAGAGCTGTCAGGCGTTCTACGAAGGACCCCCCCTCCCACACACCTGTGGGGGAAATTATCCGTCTTCTCGAGGACGCATGGTCAAAGGTCCAACAACGACGGCAGGAGGACAAATTGGGGAAGGACAAATTGGGGAAGATGTCCAGAGGTTCAGTAGGAAGGGAGAAGTTGTCATGGTGGGCGATTTCAACTCCAGAGTAGGGAAAGCTTCCAGTAGAGGACAGGCGATCGGGCAGCACGGAGAAGACAAAGTGAATGACAACGGAGTGAGGATGCTT